CCCCCCGCCTCTAGAGATTTCTCTCCCCCGCCTCTCTCTCCTTTCTTTAACATTCTCTTCTTTCTCTTCAACTTTCTTTCTCTGTGTCTTTTCTCCTGGTCGGTGTCGGGCAGTGGGTCAGATGGGCAGTATGCTAACAAGGCAGGGGGTACTCCTCCCCGTTGTGTCTCCACCTTGTCGTGGTGGGGAGGCTTGGTGATCTGTGCTGCAGGTGATCTCGATGAGATTTCCCGTCAGAGTGTTGCAGCCGGGTCCAACTAAGAGAGACACACACCAATGCCGAGCAGGAAGGCAGAGGTAGCTTTCTGCCTTATCTTTGAGTACGTCCCGTCAAAAAAGTCACGTGGCTGATGACAACCACTCTTTTATAGATGTTTAGTCTTTGGTCCTCGGAGTCCTTCCAGAATATTCTAAATATCAATGTGTAAACAAGCATCAAGCTTTGACTCGAAGCATCTTCTAGACATCCTTGACACTTTCTAAGCTTTTTAATCCAGCCTATCCTGGTGTTTTGATATACAGATGCTGAGTATAGGAAAATACTGCATATAACAAATACATTAGTTAATTTGCATAAGTAAACAGAACAGAATTTACAAGAACCACACCCTTGTACACAGTTTTTATTCAGATAGATTCAGCTATAAAATTCAAGTTGGAAGAGTTTTATTATTAATGTATTTGTTGCAGTTTGTTATTTAAAAAAATATATTCATTGAAACAAATAAAGGCAAATCGATTTATTGACACAAAGAAAAAAGAAAGATCTCACTAGCAATCGCACGGGCTCAAGGATATCGGCACGTTTCATGGTAACGCAATGACATCACTGCTAATCAGCATTACACCTTTGTGAAATAGTCCATGTTTTACTTATGAAAATCATATTAATTTCTATTGTACCCAATTTAATGTTTCATGGATAGGAAACTGTAAAAAGATTTATTCCAATTTGTATTTCATTATAAATGGCAACTTTGTAATGTTGGTGCCAAGATCTTTTATCCAGGCACATTACGAGACTGGCTAGGGTAAGGAAGGATGCATTCAATATATTGAGTACAGACCTCCCTTGAAAAATTTCTAAGGTTGCTGATTCAAACATGAGCAGCAATATACCATATTTGCCCCTTTGTTTTCCCGTACCATATACAAAACCTCTTATGACAACCCATAAAGGCTGTCATAAAAGGTTTTGTATTACAAGAAATCTACTGAATGCCAGATAGATTTTCAGTAGCAATTTTGTACATTGTCCATCTGTTAAAAGTCTGGCCCATAGTTTAATCTACCTTGTAAAACAAAGTAAATAAAAAAAATATTAACACTTAACAAGTTCATATTTGAACTCAGAAATGAGTTCAAATATGAACTTGTGTAATGTTTGAAGTAAATCCGGAGAGACTTCATTAATTAAATTTCAAATGTGGAGTTTAGAGAAAGTTTCTATAGTTACTATAATATATATATGTTACCGCTATAGCTCGAAATCCGTTAATGTGCACATTACCTAGCTAATCTGCAGATTAACTAGGGTGATCCGTTAAAGCTGCGAAAATTATTCCATTTCTCAAATTACCTACTAGGCACTCAGTAAAGTGGAAATAAGATCTTTGCTGGAACAACAGCAACGTTTCTGTATGCTTAAATTAACATAATGTTATTTATTTAATTTTCAATATCTAAAGAATCAAGTTAATAAAACATGAATTAAATGTTTTCTTATGGCAACGGTTTCAATCTCAGTGTCGTGGCACACTAGGATGCTGCTACAACACTTGAAGAGTAATGCAAAATATAGTAGCGCTATGACATTTTTATGTGTATTACTAAAAATATGAAAAGCCCAATAATCCTACATTAATAAAAAAAGTAGAGGTGCCACGAGAAACAAATGATCAAGTTAGGGGTGCCACTACTAATTAAAAATACTATCTATGGTACAGAGATGTAGTCATTAATTGTAACGTACTGTACCAGAAGCTAACAGACCCCCAAGTTTGAATCGCAACTGCTTACGGAGATACCATCGTCTGTGGAGTTTTGTATGGACAACGCGCAATTTTGTGGTGCAATATCTTCAAAACGCACGGAAAATGAGCTAGATATTCGTAAACTGNTATTACATTACATTTAATGTTTATTTAAATCATCAACATATATTACATTACATCTCTACTTCAGATATACTAATAATACATTCTAATAATACTAATATATCCTAAAAATAGCAGATTGTCATTGGCAACGGCAAAAGAGTGGAAACATCATTCGCACTTGTTCGAAGAAAGTCCATTGTTCGTCTCACGTAACTGCCGAACGGAAAGTCCGTTGTTCGCAGCAGGTCCGTTGCTCGAGTCACATAACGGTCAAACAGAAAGTCCGTTATTCGCAGCGTCCGTTATTCGAGGCGTACGTTATACGAGGCACCACTGTATATGTTACCGCTATAGCTCGAAATCCGTTAATGTGCACATTACCTAGCTAATCTGCAGATTAACTAGGGTGATCCGTTAAAGCTGCGAAAATTATTCCATTTCTCAAATTACCTACTAGGCACTCAGTAAAGTGGAAATAAGATCTTTGCTGGAACAACAGCAACGTTTCTGTATGCTTAAATTAACATAATGTTATTTATTTAATTTTCAATATCTAAAGAATCAAGTTAAAATAGACTAATAGGCGATAGCATTTTGATATTACCGAGAGTAAGAAAGGTCAAATCTACGGAAATTTTTTACTCCTGAATCTTTTGGAATCAACTCTTTAGGAGTTAGCATACTTATTATCCACAATGGAAAAAGGCAGAAAATATAAAATTGCATAAATTTCCAATCTTGGTTTAAAAAAGTAAAGGATTATTTCAATATAATTGATTGTCTTATTCCTCTTTTTACAATTTTTTTATATAGGCTAAATATGCAGCAAATATTTTGTAAAAAAAAAAATAAAAAGACAGAGAGAAACCTATAACGTTCTTCTGAATAACATGTAAAATTACATCTTTTCCAACAAAATTTATATCACTAATTCTGAAATTTGTATGAATGAATGAAAATATGAATTATAATGCGAATGTCTGTATATTCATATTGTAGAAATCGTCCTCTCCTATAATATGAATGTTATAGCCTATCAGCTTTGTTCTCCTACAGTTCTTTTCATTCAGTCCCATCGCGGATTCGACCAAGCGTATAATGGAAGAATCGGGTTGTTAGGGACGGGATCCAAAACATTCAAGACCAGGCCATTCCCAAAAATTCCCGGAGTTTTTCTACCGGGAACTTTTTGGGATTCGATCTCGGATCTCCCAGAGCGGCCATTCGACCATTACAGAGCAGTACCGGAGTATCTGTCGGTGCAAATAAAATTATTAAAACGGCTGGATGGTCGAGACAATTAAGGATTCATCCCTCCGCTCCGGGAGATCCGATCAGAATCGAATTCGGTCGAGCAATCCTAGGAATTTTTTGGGATGTCGGGCTCCGTTCCTCACTACTCGGCCTAACAGGTGCCAGTTTAGTTGTCCCCACTGTGGATCCGGCCGAACCATGGGTATAATTAAAACTGCCCTCTTAATGCCCACTGGACGGAAAGAAAGAGAAAAAAAGTACTGTTATGTAGCAAAATTACGAAAATAACAGTTTAAATTTAAATTTTAACACATATAATGAGCATTTACAATTAATTAAATTAAAAACATATTTAATATTTATCCGATAAAATTTTTATCAGATGACGTGATAAATTACCATAATCACTTATAAATTGAACGACGGCATGTTCAAAAACCGAATTAATATTATTATATATTTAATTTTTTAAATAATTTCTATTATATTTAATCCGTTTTTTAAATTAAAATTCTTAAAATTACAATTAAATGATCGTAAACAAAATTATGATAATTTTTTGGTGCAGTTTCGTTGTCATCGTCTGATTGGCCAAGAAAAGTCGACGTTGTCAAATGAAATGAAAGTTTTGATTGGGTAATATCGGACGAAAATGGCTACCGTTTCGATTGACAATATGCAGCAATGTGTGCGCGGTCGTAACGGACAAGATTTACAAAAATCGGATATAAAAATTACAATGAGAAGTAAGTTAATTCTATACGAAAGCAAGTTTCATCGAATTATTGCCTTAACTTGACTATATTTTTGATAATTTCGAACTATATGGTTTAAGTTTTAAGCCTAAACACGCCTGTCATAACCCAACGGAATATGTTATTAGAATATTAAGCAATTGGAAGATTATATTTTTTGAAAATGTCTGCCGGAATTAAAGTATCCGTACAAGATCGTAAGGAAGTGGAAAGGTTCATACGTTTTATTGTTTTGAAAACTGTTCAAGTCGTCGTACAATCTCGCTTAGGAGATAAAATCAGAACTAAATCTAAACCCCATTCTTCAGGTTCCGATTGGGTAAGTCGACCGTTTAATAATTCCAATTGAAAACGAAGATTATATAAATCCTACCAAATTAGAATTCTAAATGTGATATGGTCTGTTCCACATGTTTGAAACAAATGGCTTGAGTCCAGAATTAGGAGATTACATTGATTCTTATGTAATTTCATTCACTTATCTCAAGGACTTAAAAATATAATTTAATTTTCTCTGATAAAATCCTAAATCTTATCAGTTTTCCCCCTCCAGTAATAATGAATTCAATGTTATGTTTATAGTTTTGTAATTTGATAGCTTATTTTAATCAAAATCTTTATATTACTATGTAATAATGTATAAGTGAATGTAAACGAAGAGAAGGTCTTGTTAAAATTTTACAGAATGAGCAGAAAGAACTGAATTTTTTATTATTTTAATGCCAGCCGTGGAAAGTAGGTCGCTTGGTTTTTAATTCGGTAAACAGAAATAGCTCCCGTTACTATAAAGTAATTAGGATGTGACGTAAATGATGTCAAATAATTACAAAAATTTTTGATATTTAAAATATGTCATTTTTTAGAGTTTCTGATTGTTATGCTGATGTTTGTAATTATTCAGAACTTTAGAGTGTCTTTCCTCTCTATTTGAAAAATATGCATCTGGATACAAATTTAAAATATCGACTGCATTAAAATTTAATATTTATAGTATGAGATTTGAATAAGAATAATTTTTGCTTGCATATAGGCCTATGTAAAAATATCAATGTGTAATATTTGAGCAGTTCGCAGGCACCAAATCGATTAACTCCATTTGTAAATCCTTAATATAATTGTTATTATTTTCAAATTTTTTATGTAACAGAATTTATATATATAATAATACATTCTGCAATGTTTATTTAAATTTAAATAAACATTGCAGAATGTATTATTATATATTGTTATATTAAAGCTATCCTTTAATATAACAATATATAAAATTAATTATGCTTTAATGTAACGGAATATATAATACATTCTGCAATGTTTATTTAAATTTAAAGTTTAAAAGGAATTTTAAAACATTATTTATATTTTCAATTTTTATACTTCTTGTTTTGTGGAGTTAATCAATTTGGCAAGTGAGTGGCTTATTTATTAGTTCAAAATGTTACACTATATATTATTTTGCTCTGTGATTTATGGTATACTTTGAAATTAGAAAATAACAACAAAATGATAGAGCTGATTTTTCTATATACTCGTCGGTTTTGGGTTAAACATTGATTTGAATTTTATTACTATTCAATTTTCTTTAGTGAATACAGTATTCGGGAAAATGTCTTAAAATGAACGTTACTGATATTTATTGAACTTTAGAAGTTATATCGTAGTTTTACAAAAAAAAAGGTTTTTTATATGAATGAAAGCTTGCTAATATCTAAAGAATCACAAAATAAATTAAATACAAATAAAACATTCTTTATATAATCTTCAGTAGAAATGTTGTAGGTTGTATTGATAAAAATTGATGTAGTAGAAACTTCGTTATCTGATGCAAATGGGGATTAGGTGTATCAGTTATTCAGATATTTTTGTTATCTAAATGATAAGATTACTTCGAATCAACTGATAACTACATTAAAACTTTCAAGGTCAACTAGGAACAGGAATTGTGATGGTTGAATGTTTGTTTTGAAAGAAGCTGGATAATAATTAAACAAAGCTTAAAAAACACTTTCAACTATGCATCAGAAAATATTCTGTCCTTAAATTTTATCATCTTTAATTGAAAATGTTAGTTGCCAAAACTTCCTGAAATAAATTGATGCAGGATGGCAAAGATTTTACTTTTATTATGAAAGTAAATAAATTATTAATTTCAAGAACTCAACCCAAATTTTTTATTATTATAAAAGTGAAATGAAATTTAAAGTATAATGAATATTAAAATCTAAAAATAAAATTGAGTTTTTATTTAAAAATGGAAATTTTTGAAATTTGCTGATTTATGATTAATTTTTATAATAAAGCAAAACATTTTATTTTTTCAAAGAAAGCTATTCTTCTAACTTTTACTATTATGATTATATTGAGTTAATTTTATAGTTATTTAATTAGATATTTCAAACGGGAGAATTTTGTGATTATATACTTAGTTGCAACTTAAATGGTTTAAACAGTTTAAATTGTTTAAAACTGCAAATATAATACAGAAATCAATATTTTACAGCAAAAATCCTGATTCAAGTTAAGGTTTCTGTCTATCATATATTTAGATTATTAATACAGATGAATAAAGCTCTTGAAATAAAACATATGTTTATGAATTAAAGATAATTTATTTATTTTTATAATTACAAAATTATTTGGTTTATTGAAAATTAAATTTGTTTGTTTTTAATCATTCTTGCAGTAAATTTTGAAAAATATCTTTTTAATATATAATGGATAATGCGTAGATTAAAAATATGATAGAAATTTATTTGGTACTCGGAAAATGATTCAAATAATCATGATCTAAAGTCTCGTTTGAATTTAAACATCTGAAAATGGTTTTTAAAACTATTAATTGAAGCACAAAATAATTTGCATATACAGTAGAGAATTTTTAATTATTAGAAAATTCAAATATTCAAAACATTTGAATTTGTCTTATGTTTAACTATAAACATATGATCTTTAGAACTGATGACTAAAAATTTTTAATTTTTAAAATTCTAATTAATGCATTTCAAAATTCATGTTTTTAACCATATATTAAATAGTTGAATATTTCATTTCTAATATCATAAACAGATAGCTATAGCTATATAACAGGAAGTAGCAATTTTTCAATTTGAGCAATAGTTATCTAGAATTTTTTTTTGCTTAAATTTAATCAGGAATTCTCCTGGAGTTTTGAAACTGTTTCTAAACATCCTTTAAATATAATAAAAGTATAAATATATATGAATTATTTCAATTTGAATTTGTTTTTTTAAAACTTTATTATTATTAGATAAATTTTGTTTCTAATTGTATATTTGGAAATCAAGTTAGTTAATTTTGATACTTTTTGTGAAACAGTTTATATTTATTTTTATTAGTTTATATTTATTTTTTTAAATTTATATGTTACATACACATTCCAAAGGTTCTTAATTAAATTTTATAGTTTTAGTTTATAGAACTTTATTTAAAAGTGCATCCATGCAAACCTTATTAGATTCATAAAAATTCTTATAGTAATTAATACTTGTAAAATACTTATACTCTTTTTTAATCTTCTGAGATATTTGTTAATAATTATCTATATTGGTGATGATGAACCTTTTAGTTTGGCCCCATACAGTATGCATGTTTATCTTTAAAAATGTTTATACATGCCAAAGTTTTAGACTTTCAATAACAATATCTTTAAATAAATGAAATGAATATCCTTTAATTAGAATAAATGTAAAGAAGCTGATTGAAAAAAGAATGATTGGGTGATTAAACTGAAAGGGCAATTGAAAAAAGACAGGCCACATGATCCGTTATATGCCAAATGATTTCTCTTGACGTGCTACAGTTTGCCATCCCTGATCTATATAATTTACTGTACTATTGAAATAATGCTTATTTTTAAAATTTTAAATTAGTTTGTTTTAAACTACATGGTGATTCGTTAGAATTTAATTTATATTTTTACGTAGTAAAAGAACTGTTACTCTAAATGAATTTCAAAACTGTATTTGTACATCAATAAATTGATACACTAATTATTAATTCTGTTTTGACTTTCTAGTTAAAAAGTTAAATGAGAGATTTTATTAAATTATTGAACATAATGTATGATAAGCCAAAACTTAATGCTCATAGATTTTATATATATATATATATACACACACATATATATATATATATATTGGTTTTATAAGATTAATTTTTATTAAAATCAGTCTTGATTTTTATAGAGACTTGTTTTATGCTTATACTGCACTGCTGTAAGGAATATATTGCATTTAGTTCTTATAACTAATTAAAATTTAGTTCTAATAAAAATTTATGTAACCTTTCTTAAAACAGTTCTTACTTTTGTAACTAATCTTGTTTATAACTTTGTATTATGTTTGTTTCCATAGTTTATTTATTTCAAAATTAATTTCATTAAGTAACAATTTTAATCTCTGGTTGCTATTTATTAAATAATTTTTTTAAAGTAGTTATCACTAATGTTTATGTATGTTTTAATCAGTGCATGGGAATGTCATTTGATAATTATAAACAATCAAAATAGATATCTATTAATCGAGTTAACATAGACTTAAAAGTTAGATCTATTTTTTTAATTAAATATAAATGGAAGATTAGAAAAATGTTTCCATTTTGTCTTACTTGTCGTGTAATGAATGAATATGTATATTATTTATTTTTCTTATTGTAAATGGAAATTTTGTTAAACAAATTCATCAAAATAATAATAATTTTAACAATTATAAATACTGTTTTTATATATGAAATATTATTTTAAAATTTAACTAATCCTTAAATTTTTTGTACAAATACTTTTAACATTTTTGTAAATTACTATTAAAAAGAATCGGATAAATAAATCCAAAAAGTTTTCTAGAAACTATTAACTTTTGTTATATATAGTATCCAAAAGATATGTTATAGATACTTAATTTTTTTATGCTTTTAGTTTATTAACATTTTTTGCTTTAAATTTATTTACCTAATGCCTTTATTAAATTGCAGATTAAAAGATAAGATCAAACAATATATGTTTTTTACATGAAAGTCTTGTATCATTAATATTTTCATTTAATTCTATACCCATTCATTAAACGTTAGCTTTTTGGGCTGCAATTTTTTCAAATTGCAGCCCAAAGAGCTGTTGTCTGTCCGCTTTCCTTAATCTCAAGAACAGAGTAAGATAGATAAAATCCAAGACCTGATATGGATTGGTAGGCCCTGATTAACTATATGTAAACTTCCGATGCAAACTGGATGTTATTTCAGTTCAAAAATTTCCTCTGAAAGGAGTTAGATGGATGACAGATTAACAAATCAATTGTTAAAGGAAAAGTATGATGTACAGGAACATGACTGCTAATTTGAAGGTAAAGAGCATGTATTTTAAATTGAATAAATTAAAAAATATGATTAAAAATTGCAGCCTGGCATTGTGACAATGTCACAATAAAATAATTGCTCATTATTCTTATTTTACTATGTATGTAATATTATTATTATGAAAAATTGATTGCAAACTATTGATTTTTATGTATAATTTTAGATGTTATATGATGAAGCATTAACTGTCCACAATGGATTTGAATATTATATGCAAGTCATGTTACCAACCTTTAACAAATGAATGTATATATAAACCAATTTTTTTAATATGAAGAATTATTGACTTTTTTTACTTCTTAGTCAAAATTATATATATATATATATGTGTGTGTGTATATATATGTATAATCTTTTTGTTCTTATATTACAATATGAATCTGAGCTCTATCAGGACTTATTGCACCCTATTTACATTTTAGGAGTAATTACACAGAAGTGGGTAGACATGGGTTTATTGTGACAACAGTATGCATTTCAGACAGGTTGTTTGTCCCTCTTCAGTTCTTTTTGTTACAGTTTGGTGAGTTTACAGATGTCTACAAAAACAAAAGTGGTTTTACATTAAAAACATTTGGTTTTATGTATAAAAAATGTAATTTTGAACTATTACCTGTATTAAATCATACAAACACTTATAAATTATCAAAATCCATGATAATATAAGAATAAATGAAAACATAGGTACATCTGGCACCCTTATTTAAACATCTCAAACCTATTAGACAGCAGATAATATTTATATCACCAAATCTGGATACCATCCTACAGTAGCATTGCTTCTGTAGTAGAAAACATGAGCTGACCGACTGCAAAAATTTATGTAACCTTTTTTAAAACAGCTCTTACTTTTGTAACTAATCTTGTTTATAATTTGTATTATGTTTGTTTCCATAGTTTATTTATTTCAAAATTAATTTCATTAAGCAACAATTTTAATCTCTGATTGCTATTTGTACAGAAAACATAATATAATGTCTGAAAAATTCCAAAAATAAAGTCATCCAAACATCAGCAACAAAATAAAATATATCTTTTAAGTATGTATAAAAATGTAATTTTGAACTATTTTAATCATAAACCTAAATGTTTTGTAACAAAAAACTATTCTTGTATTTTTGTAGACTCCCGTAAACACACCAAATTGTAACAAATACAACTAAAGAGGGACAGACAACCTGTCCAAAATGCATACTGTCATCATAATAAACCCATGTCTAACCACTTGTGTGATTACTCCTACAATGTCAATAATGTGTGATAAGTCTGCCATAGAGCCAAAACTTAGTTCTCATAGATTATATCTATATGGGCTTTATAAGATTATTTTTTATTAAAATCGGTCTTGATTTTTATAGAGGAATATATTGCATTTAGTTCTTATAACTAATTAAAATTTAGTTCTAATAAAAATTTATGTAACCTTTCTTAAAACAGTTCTTACTTTTGTAACTAATCTTGTTTATAACTTTGTATTATGTTTGTTTCCATAGTTTATTTATTTCAAAATTAATTTCATTAAGTAACAATTTTAATCTCTGGTTGCTATTTATTAAATAATTTTTTTAAAGATAGAGTCGTGCCAGTCATCTATCTAACACCTTTCGGGGGAAACTTTGAAATAACGAGAATTTGGGTTTACACCGAAAGATCTTATATACATTATATATTAAGTAGTTAATCGGGGCCTCCTGCCCTAAGGTTTCCATTTATAGCTGGTCTCCGTTTTTGTCTATCTACTGTAACTATGTTCTCGAGATTAAGGAAAGACAGAAGGACAGAAGACGGACGGACGACAGGTAATTTATAGGTCTACAATTTTTTTCAAATTGCAGCCCAGCCCAATAATTGTATATATTATATGCAGAGTGTCTTAAAAAAGTACGGCTTACCCTCAGAAATGAGTTTCCCCTTCGTAGACAATAAAAATAGTTACATCACCACAAGTTCAGAAGTGCTTGGTTTCCGAGTTTTGAAGATCTATANTATTACTTTTAATGTAAATAAAACTTGTCAGATCATTATAAAAGTTCAATTATTAATTTTATTGTAATAGTCTTTCGAAATTAACACTGTAGTTATTGGTTTATGCACAGGCTGCATTAATGCAAAGCAGATTTTCTGGCCCCTAGATAAGGGAGAATAGGCATTTCAATGTTAATGAATCTGGTTAATACAAAGAGCCAAGTCCATTTGATTTTTATTAACAGAGTTTGATTGTATAGATTAATTATATATACAGTATATATAAAATTTATTTTATCATCAATGAAATGATTTTTTAGTATTAAATTTTGCAAATTTTTACAGAAAATTTTTAATTTAAAGAGACACTGTTTTAGTTTACTAATTATTTTCCATTCAGTGTATCTAATTTTTTTATTTTCTTTTATTTGTTCAAATAATTTTTATAAAAGTAGTTCTATCCAAAGTAAAGAACTCTCTTTACTATTAACTTTTATCCAGAGTAAAACTAAACTCCTTATCTTCATTTAGTGTACATTGCATGTATTTAATAATGTTTCTTCATTTCAAATCATTTTGTTTTTTTTAAAGTTGGATGCTGTTGATCAAAATTATAAATTATATTGGTCAAGTTGTCTTTTAATTTATAATAAGTAGAATAACAATTTTTCTTTAAGAATTATTTCTGATCAGTTTGTACAACATACAAAAATTATTGCAAATTAAGACTCATTCTTTCTAATAAATTATATTGGATACATATACTGTTTTCTTTACAGCAAAAAATTCCTATTTGTCAAATTTTGATTATAATGTCAGTTTATATTCTTTATATTCACTACAAAACACTTATTTAATTATAAATTTATAGATTTATATAAATAAAAAATCAAAATTATAAAACCAGCTTGTATCATTTTAGATATTGTTATTGATGAAAGTCAATAATAGGATTGTTCAGCAATTTCTTGAACTTTTCAATCATAACTGGGTGGAGTAAGACCTGACTATAAAAATTCAGGTCATCCCATCAACAGATTTGACCCAGTTTTCTCTGCCAGCAGTTAAATGTCTTAGTAATTATGTGTTTTTTAATATTATAAAATATATTTGAAAAATAAAAACTACTGCATGTGATTAAAAAAAAATAATAATAATTTATCAAATATTAATTTTTTTGTTTTTAGTCAGTTAAGTAATTGAAATAATGATGTGCTATAAGAGAATTGCACAAATAAATTTTACTTGTACAAAATTTTGCAATAATTTTTTAAAATTTCTATATTTATTATATTAAAAATAGATAAACCAGGAAAAATTTTAAAAGAATTCAAGGTTTTGTAACATTTTAGATTAAATTTTCTGTTACTTAATATAAAAAGAAAATGATTTACTAATGTCTGTGAAAAAATAAAGTGATTACATTAACTACATTTTGATGGCCTATTTACTGCTTTTATAGTAGATAATTCATTTACTAACTAATAACTATTATTACTATTACATTATTAAGATCAAAGCATTTTTGGTTAAGTAAAATTTTTTCTTAAATTTTTTTTATTTGTTTTGTATCAAAAATTTTTACAAAAATTGAGAATAATAATAATAATAATTTTTCTTTAATTTTTGATACATATAACAATTTAATAAATTTTATATGAGATTCAATTACAACATATTGAATTTCTTGTAAAAATGTAAAAATAGCTATTTATTTTTAATCAAATAGAAAGTGATAATCATGCAAAATATTTAAACTGTTCCGGTCATTCAAAAAATTTTTTAAAATATATTAATTAGTAAATATAGAAATTATAAATGATTAATACTTTATATATTTTTACACTTAAAATTTTTATCAATTTCAGTTTAATCTATCCATTACTGACTTACCAGAAATTACAGCTGAAACTAAAAAAGCAATGGCAGGTCGCATTCCAACAATAGGACTAAGCATGTGTTGTGAAATTTCTTTGAAAACCTCAGATGGTGATAGTATGGTGCTAGAAACATGGACAATTGATGTTGATGGAAGGTTTGATCCTCGTGGAAAAGCTTCCTATGCTCTTTATAGCCGTTTAAGTTTATTATTAAAATCTGCTATTGCCATTGCTAGAGTTACCCCTGCCTATAAATTATCTTCTCAACAGGGTCCTGATTCTTATGTAATATGTTATCGAACATATATGGGAGAGCCTCAGGTAATACTTGATTGGCAATTGGGAGGATAAAATAAAATTAAGAAAAATTTTATTTTTGTGTTATTTCTTAATTTTGTTAAAATGTGTTATGAATTTTAATTTTCTTGTTTTCATCACAAGCATTAATTCTCATAAAATGTTATTTTTTTCCTTTGTTTAGTATCACATGCTTGGTGAAGATTATCAAGAAACTAAAGTAGGACAAGTTATAACTGCTCTTGGGGTTCTCAGTCTAGTTATTGCTTACAGGACAAAAATGACAATTACTCCTCAAAAAGTAGAAAAAGAAAGTCCTTTTATGGTAAAAAGTGATTATTTTAAAGTAGATATGAGTCCTAAAAATTCTCATCCAATAGAGCATAATGGAATTGGACTTCATTCAGAAAGGTATTTACAATAATTTATCTTAATACAGTAGAGCATCGATTATCCGAGACAATTCAGGACTGGAGTTGTTCGGATAACTGATTATCTACGAAAAAATATATTAAATACAAAACTGTTCTGTATATAATTTGTATCACAAGTCTTACAAATAAATACCTTACATAATGTAGTACATTAAACTAGGCCTACAGTTTAGGTTGGCAGGGATGGGGAGAATGCTGCAACGCCACAGCACTAGCGGAAATTTGAATTTGCTGACTGGAATATTTCTGGTTAACCGATGTTTTGGTTGATTGGTATTCAGATAATCGATGCTCTACTGTATTATAATATTTAAAACTGGCAAAAAAGTCATTCTGTCTTAAACTTTTAATTTTTCTTTCCACTTGATATTCTGTTTATGAAATACTTAAACACTAAAAATTTGTTTATATCACAAGCATTGAACTATGGAATCAACATCTGAGATTTATAGTCATTAAACCAATTACATTTTTTGGCATTTTATATTCCCAGCATAATTCAAGATTTTGTGTGTAATTCAGTTTTAATAAATTGCAGCTTTGTCCATTGATGATAAAGTTTGTTTTGTAAACTTGTTTGTATATGCTTGTTAGTACTTAATTTAACATGCATATAGTACTAACCTAATTAGTTAAACATGAAACAGCAAGTATGGCTTAGAAAATGAATGATGACAATCAATTATTTCATTTTTACCATAGATAAATTTGATTTTAAAAAAATACATAACTTATGCTGGATATCATTTATATATTAATCACCTATTGGATTGTATATTGTCTGCAAAGTTACTATTTATTTTGCTGAGTTTAATATTGTGTTTCCAGTATTTCAAAATTTTTAAATTGTCAAAATGTTTTTACTATTTTGTAAATCTTGTTTGTAAATAAATTAATTTTCTGAATGATGATAATGTCTTTATGTAACTTATTGTTTCATTTAAAATTATGTATAAATATGCAACATACTTAATGAATTTTAATCTGCTCTTGTTAATTATAAGTCTGTATTGTATACATTTTTCTTAGAACTTATAATTTTTGGCTTCATATTGCAAATAAATAAACATGCCTATATTAATGATTGGGTATTAATTGTTCACTGACAAGAATTTTAGTAAATGAATATTGAAGCAAAGAAATAGCATTTATGACAAACAACATAAATTTCATTAGTATGTTTTTAAAGTTTACTAAAACTTTTTCTATAAAGATGAAAATGTAACTTTTAGTCAAAATATTAAATGTATATTAAAAAGATATACTAAAATGTGACAAGTAAAAATTTTCACGTTTAATATAGAATTTTTTTTTATAAATAATAACTCTTAATGCCGTAAGTAGTGTGTNAATAATATCTTCAAGGTGTTCATAGGAATTATAATACCATCTATCTAATATTTTTTTCACTCTAAATTCCGTCGTTTGAGCACTTTTTTCGTACCCTTTACTGCTTAAATATTTATATAGCAATTTGACTCTGCACAATGGTGTACCTCTTAATGCCGTAAGTAGTGTGTATATTAATTGTAAATAAATTTTTTATTGCAGTTTGGAGAAAAACAATATACATTATGGACATATGATAAAATTTGATAAAATTAAGGAACAGAAGAATGAACTACTAGTTAAATTGCCACAAGCACCTGTTATTGCTGATAAGAAAGAAAATGATGAACATGTTTTACAAAATGGTATATGCAACGATAGTCATATTCAAAAGTAAGAAATTTAAAGGATATATAATATCCATTAATTATAATTTCAGTTATTTATAAAATTAAATCTATAAATTACTAATGTTTAGAACTGAATGTCAAAGTTTTTAATCTGTTCATTACATTGTTCAAAAAATTTTTTCATTTAAAATGTACAGTACATACCAGTATCAAGTTCTCTTATCTCTTATACAATGACCTAATAATTCAGTTCATTGTGTTCATTTCAAATTGTCAACTGAATAATTTCTGTAGAGGGTCCTAATATACTCAGTTGGGATAGACTATTTATTACATTAGGATGACTGACACCAGTTAGTTTTTGGAAAACTAACTTTGACCATGTATATAGTTTTTATTTTTCTTTCACAGGCAAGTTCATGATTCTTGATGGGGAAGATGAGACCAGATTATTTCTGCTAAAAATAAATTTAACAATTTTTGTCAGTTAAGTGAGTTTTTGGCAAAAGCTGCCATATGATGGACTGAGATAAAATGTGGAACCATGATGGTTCTTTTCTTTTCTATCCTTTTGCACGAACTACTTTTTTCAGAGAAGTTATGATTATTTGACTTTCCCCTTTCTTGATTTATAAAAAGATTCTAGCTTCCACAAAGAACAATTAAATGTTTAATAATCTGTATACAATTTCACAAGATTTAATTTATTATTATTATTTAAACTTTGGTCCCATTATCTATCTAGTCATTACATTTAGTGAGGCTGACTTCACAATTGAATCACTCATGCTTCTAAAGAATACATATTTACAAAATTTAGTTGTCATCATATTGTGTAATTTCATTGCAAATGAAACATGAAACACAACTTATTGTTGAAATAAATTTTGATATTAATTGCAAAACATATTAATATTTCAGTTTACTGATTTTTGTTTGCAGGAATATCTAATTTGTATGTGTGTTACAAATTCATACAATATTACTAACAAATATTCTACTACGTTGTTAGTAATTTATTTTTCACTACATTCAGAAATGTGCTTGATATTCAACATTTATTTATTTTTCTATTTATTGGTTTAATGCCTATTTATTTCAATGTTAATTTACAGTTTCTAGCTGTCTATCTGATGATTAATAGTGAAAGAAAATTGATTGTAACATTTTTTGTTGGTATTGGGTTGTTCAGAAAGTAATTTCAGTTTTTTTCCGTGGAAAAAACACTATTTTTATAATAAATGCTTTATTGAATTATATATTGACCATTTTGGTCAAATACCTGTTGCCATCTTTCTGGTAGTAGCATGATTCCACGTTTATAAAAGTTTTGATATTTGCTTATTAAAAAAAAGGATCCAAATAATTTGACATCTTTCATTTCAAGTAAATGTCTTCCAGTCTTTACAAAATTTTTTAAACTAACAAGTAATAATCTGAGGGTGCCTGATCTGGCTAATATGATTGATATGATAGTACATCCCATCTAAGCTGTAACAGTTTGTGAGTAGTTACCAAACTTGTGTGAAATTTGATATTATTGTGGTAAAACACTACATCTGTTTTGTTGAACAATTCTGGCCTTTTCTGTTTGATGATGATAGTCAATTTGTTTACTTGATGGCAGTACACTTTCAAATCAATTGTTAAATTGTTGGTAAAAGCTCAAAAAAAAAAAAAACCTTAAAATTCCACTAAAGAGAGTATCTCTACAATAATTTATCTTAATACAGTAGAGCATCGATTATCCGAGACAATTCAGGACTGGAGTTGTTCGGATAACTGATCATTTACGAAAAAATATATTAAACACAAAACTGTACTGTATATATTTTGTATCACACGTCTTACAAATACATATCTTACATAATGTAGTACATTAAACTAGGCCTACAGTTTAGGTTGGCAGGGATGAGGAGAATGCTGCAACGCCACAGCACTAGCGGAAATTTGAATTTGCTGACTGGAATATTTCTGGTTAACCGATGTTTTGGTTGATTGGTATTCAGATAATCGATGCTCTACTGTATTATAATATTTAAAACTGGCAAAAAAGTCATTCTGTCTTAAACTTTTAATTTTTCTTTCCACTTGATATTCTGTTTATGAAATACTTAAACACTAAAAATTTGTTTATATCACAAGCATTGAACTATGGAATCAACATCTNAAAAAAAACTGTACAGAATCAAACAAAATTTTTTACAAATAAGCCTTTAAATGTCAGTTGTCAAAATATGTAATGAAAATGTGGTTTAAAATGAAATTGACTGGTAAAAATACATCTAATTCCTCTAGTAATAAAAAAAAAGAAATTATTTTCTGAACAACCCAATAGTTATATTTATTTTTTAAAATAGCAAGATTGAATTTTTTCAACCAGACAAAATATTAAAGTAATAAATATATTTATGGATGAAAATTAAATAGATCATTGCTAAATAATACAGAACAATCTGCAAAAAAAATGTTATTAATGTTTAATTTAATATGAATTTATATATTTTTTTTAATCATGTAGCTTTTAGATTTTCTAACTACTAATGGGAAATCTTTTAATGATTTTGTAAGGAATAATTTATCACTTACTAAAAGTATTATTTTATCCAATGTAATAATTTAATATTGACTCATTTCGTTTTTTAAAATGAAAAATCATAACTTATTTTTAAATTTTTTAGCTTGGAATGTCAAACTAATATGTGGGAATCTAAGAAAGTTGGTGCTTTTGCAAGTTGTGAAAAAGATACTGATCCAAGTCTGCTTCCAGATATGTTATTGCCAGATACACCATTTCTAGATTTATTAAAGCATGAGTGTGACAATATTGTAAATAATGACCAGAAATATTCTGATAAAAATGCTAATATAGAGCAGAATGAACTTATTGACTGCAACAAAAATCAGAATGGTGATGTGATGAATAAATCAACTGGAAGTGATGATTCCATATCAGATGATTTTGTGATGGTTGAACTGGTAATTGTTTTTCTTTTCCGTTTAAAATTTTTATATACATGCATGCAATCTTACAATCTGAAGAGTAGATACACATTTTTCTTTATTTTCTGAGAGAGCAAGAATCATGTAATATATACACTTATACATATTATCCTTGCTTAAATATTTATATAGCAATTTGACTCTGCACAATGGTGTACATTGTGACAGTTATACATACACTGCATAAAATATCCCAAAGGAGTTTTACTTTTTCATGCTGTAAATTTAACATCATAATGCACACTCAAATTGCCATGCAGCCTTTCTGCATGATGTGCTGATTGCAGATAGCAGCAGAATGGATGCATGTCATAACAGCATAATATCCAAAGCATTTGTGTCTGCTGCAGCCCCTAACCTAATCAATGCTGGTAAGGTCTTTTTGTCCCTAAATAGATGTTTTATTTAAGTGAACACCCTCTATACATAATATTAACCCTTTTACTGTGATGTGGTTGGTTGTACTTTACCCTTCAAAACAGTGAAAACTGTAGTCACTCAAGGTCACAACTACATATTTTATTTTAAAAATTCACCAAAAATTGAATTTTTATCATACAAAAAAAATATATATATCTATTTCTTTATGTAGTTTTTGGCACAATAGTGTGTAATCGTTCGGAGTAAAAATTACAAAAATTGTTAAATTATGACCTAAATTTTTTGTTATAAATTGCTTTACTTTGACGAAAAATAAAATTCTCCAATTTCATTATTTGTTTTTGGCATCAAGCCAGCATGAAAGAATATTGTTTTGTACACGATGATATAAGATACATGCATATTTATCTATTTTTGTGAACAATATCACTTTATATGAAACAGTCTATATATACTAGTTTTCTGTTTCTCTTTGATTAAACTCTCTTGGGTTAGTAGGACATTTCATTTTAGACAGTAAGCAGAAAATACTGAAACTATAGAACAATAAAACACACTACACAAAGAAAATCAATTAGTGAATGTGTTTTATTTGTTCAAGAAAATAAGTAAATAAAATAAAACTAGAACAAAAATAAGAAAAATCATAACTATATACAGGGGGGTGCAAAAGTAGGTATACAGTTGTTATTATGGGAAAAAACATACAGGGAGAAAATAGGAAGAAAAAACATTTATTTTTATGTACAAATTAAATTACAAATAAGGAATACAAACTAATAAAAAATGATGATAATGAACACCAAACATTTGTATTTCTCATATTCTCAACTGTGTACTTACTTTTGCACTCTCCTGTATATAAGCTTATAGGCAATAAGTGGTTAAATACTGAAATTGTAAAAAATAAAATGACTACAGAAAAGATTCAACTGGTGGACATGTTTCCTTTGTTTCAAATAAATAAATAAAATTAAGACATTAATTTATTATTTTTCTAATTTTTCAAGATATAATCTATATACAGGGTGTATCAGAATGACATTTTAAAAATTTGGGGGATTGTAGAGGATGAAATTTTGAACATTTTGATATAAGGAACCCATAGCCGGAAATGTGATATAAAGTTTCTACAGCGGTAGAAAGTGCTTGACCACCCTTCATTTTCTAGCTACCCTTCCATCCATTGACGTCATGTTATTGTTCTTGACTTCTTTCTCTGAGATTATGTAAAGTCCCTTGTGTACACAACACCTGTAGGAACAGTTCATGAGTTTATGTAGTGAATCTTTACAGCATTTAATACCATCAGAGGGGAGTGTGGCATCTTACAGAGTGTCGGACAAAACATGGTTTGTCGTTGCTCATTACGTAAAGGAAGTTGATGGTCGTCACATTAAAAATTTACTCTAAAGTAGTGCAGCCACTGATTTGATGTACAGTTTGATTTTACTTTACTGTTCTGTCAATAAAACTTGTCATAAATACTGTATTCTGCTGTTTCATTCAACATACCGACCGTATAAAACATGTAAAGTGCTGTAGAAACATTATATCACATTTCCGGCTATTGGTTCCTTATATCAAAACGTTCAAAATTTCATCCTCTACAATCCCCAAATTTTTCAAACGTCATTCTGATACACCCTGTATAACACTCAGGCAGTGAGCAGCAGTAAAATATCAAACGCCAGTAAAATGACAGATAATTTTTGATTAAAATTAAGCATATTTTAAAATGACGAAATATCCTCGTTTTGGTATATTTCAGCTGAAATGGAACTGATAATATATTATCACGTTGTCCTAAAAAGATTAATGTAAGTCAATTCAACTGTCATATACAAGTAGAACTGCTACTTGAGATAACAAAAAACTGAAATAAAACAGCCATTCTGGATTAAAAGTTATAAATGTAAAGCTTTATATGGTAGCACCTTTATTCCTCTTTTGAGCATTTAACATCTGTCCTTACTTAGCATAGATGTGTGAGTTAATTATAATACTTGTGAAATTTAACACATTATTGCTAATGTGAAGTTGCATTCTTTGTTTAGAAGCTTATTTTAAACTTTTTACTTCACTTGTTTGTTTGAACAAAATCCTATTGAAATGTCTTCAGATAAAAAGCATATCAAGCATTTTGAGCTTTGGAAAGGATATAATGCTATACAAACAGTAAAATAAAATCATAATGTGTATGGGGAAGATGATCCTAAACTTCAAACATATCAAATGTGGTTTAAAAAGTTCTGCTTGTGAATTTTTTAACTAAAGAACACAAAACATGCTGTGTATCCAAAAGCGCTCATCAAAGAAAAATTGGAAGAAGAAATTACAAACAACACAGAATACAGTATATACAACCAAACATCAAAACTAAAGCAAAAAACACTGAAAGCATACAAGCATAACTTTGGAGCAAAAGACAATTTGGACATACAACGGATGGCATTTAATGCTTCAAACACATTTTTTTACCTGTGCATGCAGTTCAAACTTTGAAGAGTCATTTGAAGTCAGAGGCAAATTTTGGTTGAGTTTTGCATTTGAACTCTGAAACATTAGAAGTACCACTGTATTATTGTGAATTTTAATATGAAATGATTTTTCATATTAATTGGCTTGGATAATTAGAGTTCTACTCCTATCATTGTCATTTAATGTTTCTGGAAACTAATTGAATACTTTGTAAAAAGTATACATATATATATGTATATATATATTAAAATGTACTTAATATATTCTCTAACCAAAAATTTACAATACTAATTATTTGAATACTAAATTACATCTAAATTTTTTTTCAGAGGCCACCATTTGCAGAATGCGACAGTAATAGTGACTTGGGTGCCTTCTTTTATGAATGTCAGTGTGCTCCGCCTCTCGCTTCCTTTACCAATCAGCCAACTTTGGAAGAACAAGTTACCGAAATCAGCTGTCAATTGGCAAAATTTGAAACGAGCAGGCTCGATTTTGACGATTTTGTAGATTCCTTATGTCAAGTAGATAGTCAAAAGTGATTATTACAAAGAACTTTGTTATTTATCACATTTTTCACTGTCATATTATCATAACCATTGTCACGGTCGTTATTATTATTAAATAAGAACTGTCTAATAGAACAGTTGCAGTGTCTTCAGATCTTTAATAATCTATTAACTGAAAATCCTCAAATACACCTGTAAAAAATTACTATAGAGGAAAGCTTTAGATATAATCTAGTATGGATTGTTCTTAATGAATATGAATTTACATTTCAAATTTATAAAAATGCTAGTCTCTAAAATAATATACCAGAATAATTAAAATAATAATAAATACTATAAATAAACTGCAAGTGTTTGCATTCATATTTTTGTTGATTTTGTTAAATTTGTTACTTTAAATATTAAGTTGTATATATTTATTTAGAAGAAAAGAATGGAAGCTTGATTTTAATATGAATATATTATTTTTTAAGATTTTTTTTCCTTGTTCCAATACACTATAGATTTTTAGCTTTGACTGATATGTATGCATAGTAAATTGGCTTATTTCTAAAATGTGTTTTTCCAAAAACGTGGTGTGTGCACCTGTGTGTTTATGTATATATATATTGGAAAAGGTATATTTTAGAAATTGCCACATTTTTCTTGCTCACAAATATTTTAAATTGAAACATATATTTTTTTATCAAATAATAATTTAATATATATTTGTATTTAGGATTTTCAGATTAGAATATTTGAGTTTCTCAATATTTTAATTCTGCTAATCCATAGGTTTCAATTTAAACAGTTTTACAATAATCGTGAAATTTTTCGTGTTTCAATCTGCTTGCTTAGCAGCTTAATTATTATAATTAAGAAGATTGTATAAAGAATTTATATTGATTTATATAATACTACTACTACTACTACCACCAATAAACTGTTATAAATGCTGTTCAAAGTTTTTATCATTAAACTATTGTAGATGAGAGAGGCAATATATTCTTATATGGAACTGTTTCTTTTATTTATTAGAAAATAGATGTTGCTATAAATTACTAAACAATTTTCTAGTAAAAAAGGGGAAAAAATTAATTTTAACTTTTATGCCGAATTTTTCAAAATCTTAAGCTGTTAACAAAGTTTAATACAATTTTTTCGGAATAAAGTTTAAATTTAAGTGATTATACGGGTATCATTAAAATTTAAAGGCTATATGTGACAATATAATAGTAATGGCGTATAAATTTATTGATTGATACATTTTATTTTCAATATATTCCTCACTACAAAATAAACCTTGTAAAATTTGAAGCCATTACGATTATAATTTATGGAGATATATGAAAATAATACTCATATATGACATACTGTAGTAGTAGTAATTATTACTACAGTTTGTATTAACAAACATATTTTCAATATATTCATTTAAAATTATCATGTTTATACTTTTGAAGATAGAGGAATATATTGCTATTTTCATTCTCCCCTCGGTCCTAACCACAAAACTAAGTGTTGCAAGAGGTCAACAATTTAAAAATTGCCGAAATTCTTTTAAACTATTTTGGTCAATATCTCATTTTTGTGCGTGCGCCCTGTTGGCACTAAGAGAACCTTTTCAATCGTACCCATTGTGGATTCGAGCAGGCTCAACATATCCCACAGATCATCTCCGAAAATTCCCTGAGATTTCTCGTCCAGATTTGATCCCGAGTTCCCCAGAGCGGTAGGCTGACAACTAAATCGACTCGATCTGAAACTAAGTTTAAGGCAAAAAGTTGATTTTTTATTTGAATAAAAGTTTGTATAGAAGTATTTGTTTTAAAACATTACATTACATTATTGTCTGTTAATATTACCAAAAATTAAAAAATTTTAGTTATTTTTTCCACTTCAAATTAATTCCATACAAGCAATAAGTTACTTATTGAAGTATTTTTTTTAAATTTTGGTTTCTCAACGAATATTCTATTTAAAATTAACTGGATTGTTTGAACACCAAGATCAAAGAACTTCGTCCAAAATTTGCCAAAGTCCGATCCTCCACGTCAGCTCGCCAGCACAGCAAAGATGACCTTCGAGAAGCTGGCAAGCTGGGCTAGGAGGTTCACTTTATAGCCCAGGCTAGCGCTAACTGATAATCATTTACCATTTACTTCGCGCCCTGCAAAATCATAATGCTAATATACAGTTCAATGAAAATACCCGACGCTCGAGACTTTCTTCAAAGAAAACGCCATCATTCTATGCTCATGCGATTTGAAAGTTTGCAGCAGAGGTGGCCATATTTGATATTTGTGGTGATCTACCAGGCTGAACTGTAATCATCGTTAATTGTCATAAACGTTTAGAAAAGATACTTTATTATCAGGTTGTAAAGGTAAAATATATTGTTTCATTTCTTACTCATATTTAACAAAAATAATAAATTTGAAATTTTAATTTGATGGACGTTGCCCACCAGTGGCCAAGTGGTTCCGTTCCCTGAACACTGGGAGTTCTGTGGTGGGTTTGGACCTCGCCAGGACGGGCTGGTCACGTGGAGTTTTCCGGGTTTTCTTCACGTCTGTAACGCCTGAATAGGGCCAGTTACCCTTAAAGATCTCCCGGAAGGTATCGCCCAAGTGTTGCGTTGCCATAAGTTAATAAAACAAATAAACAATTTGATGGATGTAGCATGTACAGTATATTAATTAATATTTATTCATTAATCCAAAATACTGGCGATTACTGTAATTATTTTTGTGATTTTGTAATTCTTTTATCTTTTTGTTGCAATTAATTTAGTTTTTTAGATTACTTTAGAATGTGTTTTTCCTTTTTGTTCGATATTAAATTTATTTACAACAAAATTTTTTATTATAACTAACTGTAATATTTTCTAGCAATTTTTTAAATTTTAAAACAAAATTTTAAATTGCCGATTTTAATTCCTAAACCATAATGAATACGAAAGAGGTAGACCCTAAGCATCAAAGAGCTTAGGGTCTACCTCTTTCGACGGGCCTACCGTATCCGAGGATACGGTAGGCCCGTCTACCTTTTCGACGGGCCTACCTCTAGGACCCGTCTCGGATACATCAAGCCCTGTACCTCACTACCTGGTCCTCTCATTGTGGGCCTGGCCAAACCCATAATAGGCTTGTTAAAAGGCCCTCTTAGTGCCCATAGATGGGAAGAATAAAAAAAAAAAACAAATCGTAAAGAATTAAAATAGTTTGTGTAGTATAAATGGCAGATTAATTTTTACATTTAGACAGTATCCAATCGATAAAAAGTAATCAAATAGAATTATCAAGCATGTTCGATTTATTTTCCTATTATGTTTAGTTAATTAACTTATGTCGCTGTACAATTTTAATGACGATGATATAACTGAATCCATAAAATTGAATAATAATTATTTAATATTAGTCAGATAATATCAATTATCGTTATTAAAAAATAAGATTAAATTTCTTGAAAGTTTTATTGTTTATATAAGAATGCGAAAAATTTCTGTAGGTGATTGTAAACTCCACATATGAACCGGTGCCATATTATTCTCCGTGATCGATTTACAATTGCACCCATTGTGTTCTTTGCGCTCTCTTAATACAGTTTCTTCTACTCTTGAATTCTTTATACATGCAGATGATTCCGATGTAGAAAAGAACTCAGATTTCCGAGGGATTATGCAAACAGATACTATTTGGTGAAATAATTTAGAAAATTCGTCCTTTTGTTGTGTGTCATGCAAATCTGATAATTCCATTTTCCAAACACAGATGTTATCTTCTTTGTTATCTTTATTTTCAATTATCGTATCTTTGCAAACAGTTTCAGTTTCTCGGCATGCATTGGGCTTTTCTTCTATTTCCAGGTTTTGAATTTTTATTTCAGAAGAACATTCTTCGCTTCCTTTCATTTCCAATTTATTACCTGCCTGCAAGAAATTATATATTTTTTATCACTATTAAAAGAATTAAGACAATTCTTAGTTCATAGTCATAAAATTAAATTCTATATAAATTATTAATTTTGAGTAATAATATCTTCAAGGTGTTCATAGGAATTATAATACCATCTATCTAATATTTTTTTCACTCTAAATTCCGTCGTTTGAGCACTTTTTTCGTACCCTTTACGGGTTTGGCCAGGCCCACAATGGGGCGAGGGATGAGAATATTAAAATTTTCCGGGATTTTTTCGACCTGTTTCGGATTCGATCCTGGGTTCCCCGTAGCGGAAAGATGACGTCTTAACCGCCTTGGTCATCCCGATACTCATCCACAATTAATACTAATAGCGTACTCAGGATTTAATCTCGGGGGAGCCGAGTTGAATGGATAAAAAAATTTTTTAATGCAAATTCAATAAAATTCCCATCTTAAGTGACCGCTAATTTATAAGTAGTGTAGAAACAAGACAGGACAAAATATAAATAAAAAATTGAATTTTAATTAGGAAAAGATTTTTTGGAAATTTTAGGAAAAGATTTTAATTAGGAAAAGATTTTTTGGATTTTTTTCTAGTGTTTGTTTTCCTTTACTTTGGAGGATGCCAGACCTCTTGGCTCCCCCATGGGTGCGCCACTGGTTAATACTTATAAGAAAATCTTATAGATGGTATAAAGATATGCAAATTTACTTAATTTTTCATTCAAAAATTTCTAATCTTGAGAAAATTTCTCTATTTCATGTAATGAAATTGTATAACGAAATTTTTAATGGATGGGTTTTTAAGAAAAGATTGTAAGATTTCGGTAGACAAAATTTCTAAATCAAATATATATGAAATTTGATTATTTCACATTTTTAACAATTTACCGAAAGTTAAAATCTCTAAAATCATCATTATTATTTTTTAATGGATGTCCTTCCATGTAAATGATTCTACAGTAGTGAAACTATTTTAAATCTTTTAAAGATTTCTGGAGAGTTATCTTAAATATAATGAAAACTTGAGTTGTATGAAAATACTGAACATAAGCAACATTCTATGTCGAATATAATGATTCATCAATCGAAATAATTAAACTAAATTTCTTTTTGATGCAAATATGCAAACTAACTAACATTAGTTTTGATAAACTAATCATGCGGAATACACTTTACACGTGGAATACTGTATATCCTAGCAGCATAACATTAGATACAAATTTTCATATCGGAAGGTGATTTGAACCGAGCACCTCCGATACCCTCCTTCACTCACATTCAACATCTCACATCCGGTTCCTCGTGTCAGAACTTATGAATTGTGTAAAAGTATGTAAAAAAAGGGCCTGAGAGCAAATGAGAGCGGAGCTACATTAACATATGGGCATATTCGGCCATAGTAGGAGTTTCATCTTTGGGACCGAATCTCACTAATGTTTTTTCTCTATATCTGTAACGTCTAAAGAAATTGGCTGGAGACCTCAAAAGTACTTAAATTTCATATAATATATAACAGTAGATATTAATTAACTTATTCAATTGTGTTTTGATTTATGACAATGGATTGTTTTAGATATTATTTAAATAATATTTGAAACAACTCATTGTAAACCTACTGTCCATCTTGCTTGATCTCTTAATAAATTGGAAATTTCGGTTCTGAGTATGAATGGAGGATCGTAAATATGTTTGATTACTTTCATTAATCCTTGCCTAAATCGATTTAATTGCACACGAAGACGTTGGTTCTGAAAAATAAATAAATAAATAATTTATTGAAAAATATTTGTTAAATTCTATTTCATTTATTTCTTTTCCAGCGATGATATAACTTGAAAATAAAAATCTAATTGTAACCTTTTTACGGTAGAATATTTTTTCGTCGTTTATTTTATCAATTTGTTTGCTATAAGAAACAAATCGATTTTTCATTTCGTTGTTACTTTTTTGGAAATGAATCAACTTTTCTTCTAACTTTATGCAATAAAATTATATGTATTAGAGATAATTAGAATATTTATCACTTAAATATAAATGATCAAAATGGGTAAAGATTCTAAATTAAAATTTGTAACGACAATTCGTTAAAAAATGAAAAAAATATAATTCAACAACTTACTGTGTTCTTTAAGTTTTTTATATTTTCTCTTATCTGATTGTTTTCTTCTTTCTGTTTTTGAATTTGATTGAAATATTTCATTTGAAGTTCTTCTTTATTTATATTTTGAATCAGATTTCTCAATTTTTCAGTTTCCTCTTTCAGTTTTTCATTTTCATCTTTAATCTATTTTCATTATAATTTGAAATATTAAGATTATTTTATTTAAAACACGAAGTAATTATCAAACATACTAATCATTGGTAAAAATGGTTTCAAAATAACTGAAGAGACTCTGTGCTTTTACTGATAAGTTTATCAACCTCGTGTTTATGTTTAAATTCTTCTCTGAATATATTCAATACTCATTTTACTTTATTTAAATAATTATAACGCATAAAAACCCAAAAGAATGGGTTAATTCTTTGGATAAACACTAGATAGGGGTTTCGGGTTTTCTTACTTCTTTATACCTAAATAGGGGACAGCTTTCCCGGAAGTACTCCCCCCGTGTTTCGGGGCCTCATCGCACCAATCCTCAATCCTCATTTTTATATGCACTAAGAAGACTTCTTTTCGTGCCGGCCAATCAGATCCAAAACTAAGAAGGATCGGTCCCCGATAACCAAGCCAGATTATCAAAAAAAGAAAAAAATTCTGCAAATTCGGCTTTTTAAAACTCTTTCCACCCTGTGGGCACTAAGAAAGCCTTTTGAACAAGTCAATTGTAAGTTTAGCCAGGTCCAAAAGGGAGGCGGCCGGGTGGCGAGGGACGGGATCCGACATATCCGGAAGAACCATCCTCGAAAAATTCCCAGGATTTTTTGACCGTCCGGATTCAATGCCGGGCCCATCTTAATGGAAATCTGGTCGACGGCAAATTCGACTTCGATTCTTAAATTCTTTAGAACGAAAACATACTCCATGTATTTTGAACTAATCCAGTATTACGTTGGCCTAATTCACTGACATAATATACGAGTATTTCAGTAGAAACAGACTTAATTTGTACAATCGAAAGGGGAATCGAGTAATTACCAGAAAAAGCCGAGTGGATAAATCCACTGAACATTGATAGTCGCGGGTTTCCGCCTGACCAGCAGGTTAGCCACGTGGAGTTTTCCGGTTTTTTTCGGGTATTAATGCTTGAATAGGGATCAGCAGCGGCGGCCTTATCCATTGCGAGGCTCTGGGCGGCAGAGCTATGCGAGGCCCTGGGTGGCAGATCTTTGCGAGGCCCTTGTCCTTTGTGCAAAGTATGTGAATTGAAATAGTAGACACTTATTGATATTAATATATACTGTACTATAAATTAAATTTATTTTATTGTTATAACTAATAGCCAAGGATAAAATAANATTTACCGTTTTTATTTTATTTTTTAAGAGTTTTTGTTCTTTTTTATAATTCGTTTTAATTTCTTCAATCTCTCTTTCAAATTCAATTTTTGTCATCTCTAATTTACTTCCAAGATGTTCCTCCATTTTGCACAGCTAAATAATTTAATCAAAAATTAAATTGATAAAACACTGAAGACGTTTTAAAATCACTCACATTTAATTATCTATCACTAGAATTTCTTCAGTAGAAAATCCTAAATACGTGTTAGAATTTCAATATATATATGAAACATCTAACTTATTTTCTATACCATTCTGATTTTTCCCCAATTTTTAACAAGATATTATTACGATTTTAAGAAAAAGTATTGTTTATAGCCGAAAATTCATTACTATAATATTTAGCGCGATTGAAATTAACTTCCAATGATGAAAGCTTAGATTTTGGAGGTGATAAAACCCATTGCTTGTAATGATGTAAGCATACTCCATAATCGCAGCAATCTTGTCACCATTTTCCCTACTTATCTTCACATTATGCGGAGAGTTGATCCTCAGTTCTGTCTTTATTTAAATATAGTCAATTTCTGTGTTGTATGTCTCACAGCTGTATAGAATCCAATCCACATCTTTGGTATTGGAAGATTGATACGAATGAGTAGTTTACCATTGTATCTCAGCTGTTTCTTTTACAGTACTTTTAAAAAGATCCCATTGTTAATCACATTCTGTAAGAAAATCTTCAGAGAAAAAGCAGAATATTTATATGTACAAAAAATAGTTTAAATTTTAATATTGTGTTTCATAATTCATAAATAAAAAATTAGTTTTGAAAATAAATTATGATTTAAGATGAAATAAAATTGTGTACACTTTATTAATTTGCTGTGATAATTCAAAAAACAAGACCTCCATATATTTGTGTAAACAATTATATGAAGCAATATATTCACAATAAGAAACAACACAAGATTTACTCCTCCTATTCGTTTCTCCACACAGAAACACAGCAGAGTGTACAAAGGTATAATTAATTTCAATAAACTACAAAACATATTTTATATAAACAACAAAAAATAAGAAAATTTGAAACAAAATTATAAATTTATTTCTAAAATAAAATACTTTCGTTGTATAAATTCAAAAATTATCCATTAAAACAATTTTTTACATATTAAAAATATGTCCAATATAAATGTCAAACTTTGTCTTTAAGATAAAACAAATACTAACATAATTAAGTACTATATTAAAATAAGTACAATATTCTATTAAGAAACAAGAATGATTTTAGAGTATGCAAGTACATTTTGTAACACTAGATCTAATTTTTTTTGAAGTTTTCAAAAATGTTCCAGTCCAAATTCATAATGTCGTCTTATTAAATTAGTTATATCTTAAGTAAAATACAGATATAAACATATATCAAGTTAATGACCATATTTCACTAAAATTATAATGTAAAAATATTAAAATAATTGCAAAATGTTATCTCTTCTGCTTCATACTCTTATATGATAAAGTTGTTGAAAACTGAAAGAAAAAAATTAAATGTAAATTTTATAGAATCAAATTTATAATTTTATGATAATAATAAGAAATATCCATAGAAATTGACAAGAGTTGGCATTATGCTGATATATAAAAAATAAATGAGATAACTGCTTACTTTAGAAAGCCAAAAATTTTAAGAAATACTTAATTCTTTCATTTCATCCCCATCAGTATTCCTGCAAAATGAATAGCGAGAAATGAAAGAAGTTTTCTCTACTTCTACTCAGGCCACAAATCAGGAAGAAGCTCTTATGCCAGCTTACTTCTGATAACATTGTTAGATAATTTGCTGATAGTAAATGAAATGTTTATATAAGTACCTTCATCACATAAATTTACATTCAACAGAATATTCTATTAAACATGAGCTTGTATGTTGAAGGTAATCATATAACTGGTGAAAAACATTTCATTTTTAAAGCTTCTGGCTTCCTGAACTAAATATTTACTTCATTTATTTATAAACATATTCAAATTACCTCTTCAGCACTTCTGGAACTGGCATGGTCTGGTTGTGCTATTTTTATAATCTTTTGTTCTTTTTCTATAGAAGGCTGTTTCTCTCCATGTAATGTTATTAATAATTGTTTAACTTTACCAAGTTCCTAAAAATCACATCATAAATTTAATCTTACAATATTAATTTTCCTAGTTTTAGTATTAATTAATACTATATATATAAAAAAAGGAACATACTTCTCTATTATTTAAAATTTTTTTCATTTCATCTGATAAATTTTTATTAGAATTTTCTAGTTTGTGATATTCTTCAGCTAATTCTTCTTTCTGTTTTTGCAATGTTAAAATCTCTTCACGCAGTTGATGAATTTGTATCTCTTTCTCTCTTACTGCATCCATTACAAGAGAATGTGGTCTTTTAGTAAAATTTATGAGATTGTTTGCAACAACAAGCTAAAATAAAATAAAATGTAGTTAAATTATAAAATATATAAAAGTTTATGTAATTTTTTTGGTTGATCAAGAATATTTAGATAATGATTTTTATCAAGATGGTGCAACTGACAGCTGCAGATTACATCCAACCTGACCTTGTTAGATAATTAATCCCTACCATTGTTATTTGGTAATTGCAGCATTTTTGTTAGCATTCTTCTGTACATGATTCATCACATTTCATTTTTGTGTGCTTGACAGTAATAGTATAAAATGGCTCCATAATATCTTTCAAAAGCTGGACAATTTAATCTAATCATCAAAAAACTTTTATTCCAACCAGCAGATGTTTAATTTTTCATGTAAATTTGGACAAATGTTTTTGACCTAATTAGCAATTTTTCAAATTTGGTTTCTGATAAAGGTAATTTCTTTTTCATTTGGCTCATTTCAAATTCCAAAATAGAATGAAAAACTGGAGATGTGAAGCAGACTTGTAATTAGGTCGAAAATGTTTGTCCAAATTTACATGAAAAATTAAAATCCTGCTGGTTGGTTTGAAAGGTTTTTGTGCTGAGTAAAATAGTATAAAATGGATACATTCTTAAATTCATCTCTTTTACAAAAAAATATGCTTGATTAAATTTTATCAAGCATTCCAAAATTCTCAAAGTAAGAAAAATGCTTTTAAACTAGTTTTTATAATTTTATCAATAATTAACTTCAATGGTGCTGAAACTATAGCCCTCAGAGCCAAATCTGACCCAAAGCACATGTTAAATCCAACCACAAACATATTTGACACATTACTTATAAATTATAAAAATAGACATACATTTAGTATATATGGAATATATAAAATATATGTGACCCACTTACTTACAACTTATGTGAAATTTGGCTTGTCAATCAAGATATTTGGGTTCAATGAGCATGCTGCAAGTATAGGTAATATTTCAGTGAGATAGCTATCTGGATCAATGCTAATTTGGACAGGTAATATTATTGACAAGTTGAAATTGCAAATGAAATTATTGAACAATTAAACAAATATTTTCTACCTATATTCTATTATTTAATTAAACATTTAAAATATATTTACTCTGTCCCATAATATGGTATACATTTACGTATATTTTTCTAAATTGAACTGTAGTAAGAAATAAGGATTTTTGACTGGCTGTTGTTATTCTTAATGTTAATTACATTTTCTATAATTAAAATGCCTCAATGTCCTTTTTCTTATGAAAATTTATATTTTACATTTTCTATAATTTATACCTAAAA